GATTTAGAAGATGCCACAGGTGGCACTGAAAAGCAGCTACTCTGTATTACATTTGCATGATGAATGTTTTACTCTAGTCTACGTCAAGCACCATTTGCTGAAAAACATAAGCAGAGGTTTCTTTTCTGTGTAAGGCAGAGTAGAGATGTGACATCCCGTAGGTTTCTGAAGAATGTAGTCCTGCCTTGAATTATGCGTTACAGCGATATTGACTTTCCTTTCTAGGATTTGGTTAAGGTGGATGAAGTACACCAGACAGAGCGAGCCGCTTTTTCAGGGAAGTGTTGTTTTTTCACACATGTACTAGTGTTTTTCTTTCAGCAGCAGCAGCCTGGGATCGATCAGCTGCTGGCACCGCAGCCCCCCCACTGTTCACCCCCATCCTGCTGCTTTCCCTTTAGCTGAGTGGGTTGCTAAGTTGTGTGTGGGTCTGCACAGTGTGATCAGGGAACTAATCCAAGTTAAATTAACTGTACAGTAACAGCAGGGGGTTTTTTTGTTACCCAGGTCTGGGATTCCCTGCCCACAGGTCACAGCAGCAGCTGGGACAGCCGTACAAGCGGGAGGGGACTGCTGGGTGGAGCAGGAGGGAATGGGGGATCCCATCTGGGGGTGCTTCTAGGAGTGCCGCCACCTGGACCTGGTGCTGACTAGAAGAGGACAAAACTGAGACAGAACACCCAGCAGCGTGATTGTTTTCAGCGTCAGACTTCCCATTAAGACAACTGCTTGATCAGTGTATATTGAATACGTACTCAGGAAAGAGCGAGTGCTGGGAGCTAACGGACCTATTCCCAACTCATAAATCTGGGAATGGGCTGACTCTTTGATCTCTGACTGCTGTGACATCCTGCAGGCCAAAAGCCTTCTTGGTTCTCTTGCGCTTTACAGTTCCAGAGGTGTTCCAACAGCTATCTTCTAACAGCAGCTGACATCCTTCCCCTGGTGAGGAAATGGAGACATTTCCCAGACCTGAAAGCTTTTGTTAAGAGACACAGATATAACATTTATAGACCATAAGAAAAAGTCCACTTTGTTACAGCGGAAGAACTTCTGCGTACTGACCTTCGTTGCAATAGATGGTGTGTATGAGTGCAGTTTGGCTGCCAGTTCTGCGACACGGAATAGGAAGCCTGCGTTCTGCAGCTCCGTAAGCCCAGCGTGGTACATCAGTGCGAGTGCGACTGAACCCCGTGGGCCAAAGGGTCGGGGCCCTTAGTGCAGCCCAGAATTGCACAGGCGGACTCCAGGGCGTGGGGTTCACGCTGGGTCACTGAGTCACCCGTCTGCAGACGACTTGCGCTTTCTGGCCGCCGTTTGCCGGTGAGCAGCTGCGGCAGCTGTCGGCAGGCCCGGCTGCACGGCCTGGCTGCGCGCCTCTGGTGCTGGCCGCTGGGGACGTCCACTGTCCCTGCCTCGGTTGCCTTTTGTGGGCTGGCTGGCTAATACCAGCATGTTGATACACCTTGGTGATGAGTCCCCTTCTGCGTACCAGCGGTACGTGCTGGACACAAAAACAGACCAATTCTGGGGCAAGGCTAGAGCCCAGGAGTTGTATTTTCCCTTTCCCGTTGCTTAAAGCATTACACGTGGATTCCCTCTGTGGGATCCTGGTGGCCGCCCTTCTGTGTTGGCTTGGCTTGAAAGGGATCTGAGGTTGACGAAGGGCAGGGGAGACCGTGCTCTTGTTTGTAAAGGAGCGAGCTGTTAGGTGGAGATCAGAGTAGGAGGCTTTTGCCGACTCCTAGGCAAGCAGGGCGGCACAAAAGACAACTCTTTGCTTTCTTCTGCCACTTTTCTCCCCTCCCAACGCTGACACACCTCTCTGCAGCTCCCACAGAGTGTCATCCCGCCGATGTGCTAAAAGCGATGCCTGTGAGGCGCTACAGCGTGCCTCCTGCAGCAAGAAAAAGCACTGCGTCTGTGTCTGGCAGAGTTTTCTTTCCCTGACAAGAAGTTTTGCATCCTGCTGTGCCCCTTGTAGTCTGACGAGGAGGTTTCCAGTGCCTTGTAGGTGCCAGCATCTGCACAGAGTTACACCTAGGTAAGGGCTGGAAGTGTTTAGGAAGACATTCAGACTTTTGTCCCTTCCTGTTCTGCATACTTGCTTTTAGTTGTGTCCTGTCTAGGCACAAAGGGGGATTTTACTTCTTCCCTCAAGACGCAGAAGCTATGACATAAGGCCAGAAGTGGCTTGCTTTTTGAAATTAAGATGCCTAAAACTGAGACAGCTGTCTGTAAGGGAAGAGCAGACTACCTTGCGTAGATGACAGAGATTGCAGCCTGCTTCAGAGGCTGAGAACGCTGATCTTCACTACATTCATCAAGGGAGAAACTCCTTATGCTTTTGTCCTTGCTGGGAGTGCCTCTGTACTGAGGTACCTGTGCCAAGGGGACTCTCACGATGCGAAATGCTCCTGTACCTGCAATGAAAACATGGCTTTACGCTTCCGATGGAGAAGCTTATTATGGAGCTATCAAGTCACCGCTGCCAGCTCCAAGCATCCAGCAAGGATCAGAAAGGCTCTGAAACAGAGCTGAAATCTCAGCTGAGGCTGAGATTTTGGAGAAGAAAGGGGAGATGGGCCCTGATGGGCCCTGTGCAGGGTTTGCTGGTCTGCTGGCTTCTCAGCCTTTTGCCTGTCAGGCTGGGGAGGTTCTTTCAGGCTGTTGAGGGCCACAAAGTCATCTCTTAAACGTGCGCATTAAGATCCTGCCTCGTGTGACTTGAGGAGCTGGGGAGGCAGCTCTTGCACTGTATTTTTTCATTCCAGCAAAGCTTACTATTTTTTTTCTTTTTCGTGGTTGTCTTTAGCATGAATTCTCTGGTGTCTAAACCCGAGACTGAAGCTTTTAGTAATGCAAGTTTAGCGGTCTCTTGTCTCCCTGACTAAGCTTACAAAGACTTGGTATCTTGGAAATCTCAATTTCTGCATCAGTTTTAAATGAAACTGGCCAATAGGTTCAAAAGCTTATATGAGGAGACTGACCAAAAAAGGAACAATGGTCACACAAACCTGGTTTCATTAAGGTAGAGACAGCTTAAGAAAAAGGCACGTTTTTGCTGTTAAGACTTGGTTTAAGCTATGTTGAAGAAGCAATGCCTGTATAATTATCTCACAAATAGCATTAAGTGTAGACCAGACACATATTTGTGATTGCATACATAACTACATTTGCTCCAGAGCTTCTGCTGGCATGAAAATGCCGTATAATTTCCAGCTTCTGTAGCAGAGCCCTGATAGCAAAAATCATTAATGCATGCTAGGCTTAGGTTTTGAGGTTTTTTTTTTTTCATTCTGCTAAAGAGGAAATCTTTAGATGAACGCTTAATTTCCCTCCGGTTGCTGCTAGTCGTTGTGACAAAGCTCTCTACAGCCTCTGAATGCTTTGAAAGGTTCATCAGGTCTTCCGAATGTACATAGGCCCAGATCTATATATTGAGACACTTCCAGGCTTTTAGGCAGAGTTCTGAGATCTCACAGTGATGTCATGTTTTTAATTTAAAGTTGTCATTTCGTAGTGTTCATGTTTTTAGCCCTCATATATATATGCTATATATAGAGACAGAGAGAGCAAGGACTTGAGGTGGGCTGCATATAGTCCTCACTTTGGCATAGTCTGCAGATGTCTTGAAGCATATTCTTCAGAGATCTGAGCTGCCTGTCCATCTTGGATGTTCAGCTGCGTCCCTGAGAGTTCCTCCTTGCCAGAGCCCCAGCAGGGTGTTGAGGAGGTCCTCCCTGCCTCACCCTGCACGTCATCCTCTGCTCCTAGGGGAGTCCCGGAACAGATCCCAGCCTCCCTGAAGACAGGGACCAGCACTCTACCGAGGAGAGGGGTTTTTGCTTTCCTGGTCAGCCCAGGAAGCATATTTGATGTAGAGGGCTCCTTGTGCCTCTCAGAAGGATGGATGATGGCACGCTCACGCTTCGGGCTGTGCAATTCCTGTTGCACGTGTGTGGTGAGTGTGATCAGTACGGTGACTCACTTGAAAAGCCGCAGGCTGAGGATGCCACTGTTGCATGCACAGCTCCGTCTCTGGTCTCCTGTGCGGTCCCAGGCAAAAAGCTGACGTCTGTGCCTCGGTGTCACCATCTGTAACACTGAAATAGCTGTATCTGTTTCTGACCCTCAGGCTCGCCTCCACCTGTGAGACAGCATGGTGGATCCTGACTGCGAGGTCAGAAGCGTGACTTGGCCACACTCCAGGCTGTCCCCAGGCTGTCCCAGTCAGCAGCAGGCGCCTGGGCGCTGAGGCTGGGGAGCCAAAGGGAGAGCAGTGCCATCCCCGTCGTGCGGCTGCCAGCGTGACCCACGGCAGTGCAGCCGTGGCATCCTGAATAGTGACCCAAGAGCGAGGGGCTGGGCTGACCCCTTTCAGGGCTTTTGTACCTACAGGTAAGGAATATGTGATGGAGTCGGTCGCACTGGAGAACCAGAATGATGTCGAAGCCTGGTGACATCAGTCTCGTGCAGCCCAGCCCAGCTGCAGTGCCACTAGGTCATCACATTACTTCAGATCACCGTGAAGTAAAGGGCCCGTCTTGCCCAACGGCTCTGTGCGCAGACCTTCCACAGGGTTAAAATAAATGCGATGTGACAAGTGGATGTGTCCTCTCCGAAAGGTGACTGTCTTGCTTGGCCAGGGTATGATTACATCTATATAAGCGTGATCTGTATTTCTTTGAAAATGAAACTGCTGTCTCTCTTTGGTTTTGGCAACAAGGAACTAATAGTATCTTGTGACTTTAGCCCTGTGCTTAGGAGGGGGATGTGACTTGGTGGGGTAAGCCATTTCCTGAGAGGTGTGAGACGGGACTTCAAGACCTGGTGGTGCCATTCGTGTATTCTGTTCGGAGGAGTTGATAAGAGCTTCAGACACACGGAAAGCCTTGAAGAAAGCGGCCGTGGGGGAGGCATAAGAACCTAGCAAATGCATATGAAAAGATCAAGGGGCTGCATTTGCTAAATCCCGACAGGAACAGATTTGGGGCGAGATGCCCAGGTTCAGAGGGGACCCAGACATAGCAAAGGGGCAAGAGCAGAGTATGTCTGATGGCTGGCAGCTGGCTCCCTACCTTCGGAGGCAGAGGAAGATCAAGGGTTTGGGAGTGGGAGGGAGGTAAGAGCAAATGGTGGGGGTGGGATGAGGGAGAGGAAAGGGCAATAGGGAGACAGGAGAGCCTGACTGAAAGGGCACAGGACATTTAGGGTTGAATTTAGACGCTTAAACTTCAGCCTGCCTTTGAGTTTCGAGACACCCTGAGAATGGCAGGATGCATGTACCTGACTCTTGTCGTTGCTTCTGGAGGGAGTGGGCAGTCCCACAAAGATTGTGATGGCAGCAAGCCCTAGGCTTAAACAATTCCTTGTTGCAATTTATCTCTGTGTCCTCTCTGATTTTATAGCATGTGGTACTTTGAGAGAACCTAAAGCCTCTGTTTAATAGAGCTCATCGGGTTGCTTTGCTTACTTACATGCTCTGAACAAGGTAATACCCCGTTCTTAGAGATATTTTCCTTAACAAAGGATTTTGTAGCAACTATTGATGCAGGTGGTTGTATATATAAAGTTACTGGGTTATCTGAACTCCCAGTAATGTTTGTTTAATTCACTGCACAAGCAAAGGAAAAAAACTCTGTCTCTGCAGATGAATAAAAAAAAAAACAAAGACGACGACGAGAAGGGAAGAGCTAAGGAAGAAGACAGGGCCCTGTTTGCCTCCTTTTCATACAGCACCTACTTAGGAGAGGCAGCCTTCCAGGGTGCAGTCAAAACATGCATGCACAGCAGGACTGGCAGAGGAAGGCAAGGTGATATATAGCAGAGGGGCCACATTCAATTTTAATAGCACTGAGTAACAGAAAGAAAAGCTCCAAACAGTCCCCTCTCTTCCTTTTTCAGGCTCCTTGGCCTTAGCAAGCAGTGTTAAGGCATTGTTTTGTACCTTTTCTTGGTGGACTCCTAAACCCTGATCATTATCCCTTGCACGTGGTAAGATCTTCCTTCTACCCCAACTTAGCAAATGACAGTCACAAGATTCTCTGTTTCTGTCTTGCAGTGTTTGGTATCTGTCTGAGTGCATGAGCTGCTGAAATTAATAAATTTTTATAAGAATTTATCTTTTTTCTTCTTTTTTTTTTTTTGTTGAAGCTTATGTTTCATGGTTATTGAGAAAAGGTTCCAAACGTGAAGCTGATTTTGCTCCAGTGATTCAAAACCAGAAGGCAATACATAGAACCAGAACTTTCCCGGTAACGTTGGATGCCTGTTATAATACAAACATTGGATCCACTCTCTTTCTCTGTCCCTGGCTGCTCTGGTGCTATTAAACCCCGCAAGTCTTCCCTCTCCGAGTGTATTGAGCAGAGATTTCTTCAGCTGGCTTCCCTGCTGCTGCTCAGGCACGTGCCAAGGCCGGTGCTCTGGCTCCAGTCTTATCATTCATTCTAAATGTTTCCCATCTTCTTTTCCAGTTAGTTTTGGAGACAAGGGACTGGTGGTCTCTCATGTATCACGGCATTTGCAACAAAACCATTTTGGTTTGTTCTAGTGTTTTTTTTTCTGGGGTGTTTCATTTCAAAGATATTCGGGCCTCTGTACAGTTTGGAAGATCCTGAGTTGGGGATTTGCGGTTGATCATTAAGTCAGCAGTTTCAGGTGATCATAGCCGGGGAGTGCAGCGGTTACTATGCCATTTGATGAAGTAATTGTCTTCCGTGCATGAATTGACTCATATTTCTTTGCTATTTAAAATCACACTGAAGGAAAGAAAAAGAAAGAAAATACCACACAATGAACCCAGCAGGCATTATTCCTGTGGGTTATCCTGATTTTTATAAGCCCACGGCACAATTTTCTGGTGTCTGACTCACACGGAAGCTCCATGCATTTGCATAGCAAAAGTATCTGCATCTTCCTCCCCCGCTATCCCAGCCTCCTGCCTTGACCATCCCAGATAATCCATCCGATAGCATCCCCCGTGTTGCCTCACTCCTCGGGCATGTCCCTGCCCTCCACCCAGGACCGGTGCCCCTCTGGGCTGCCCTGCTCGGGCAGCTCTTGACCCAGACCTTCAAAATGCCTCTTGTTCTCTCGTCCCTATTTTATATGTTTTTCTTCCCTTCCAATCCAAACCATTCTATGATTCCCCTGTTAGTCAAGCTCAGCTCCTCTGCTTTTACTTCTGGCAGGGTTATTTTTCTATTTGACTCTGGCCCTGTTTGTCAAGGGCGTACCCTTGTCACCTCTTCGGTCTAATCCTCTCCTTTGTTGTCTAAAGGTCTTCCTCTCTTTCCTTTTATCGGTACTTTTATCTCTTTCTCCATTATCTTTTAGTCCCCTTGATTCTTTCCCCTCTCTTTTGCATTTGGCCAAGCTTGTCTTACACATACTACTTGGGGGATTTAAGACTTTTCTACTTGACAGCTTTTCTTCCCCGCCCCCTGAAGTTTCCCCGTGCCGCTGAACACATGCCAAAGAGCAAATACATTTATTACTCCGAATGAGACAACTGCGATCCCCAATCTAGAGTGACTCCAGGTGGCAGTGATCACAGCAGCTGTCTACTGCCATCTTAGCCATCCCCCGTATCTTTACGAGACCATGTTTTTCCTCTTTTGTTGTTGTATCTTCGTATCTGGGAGGCTGTCTTAAGGTCTTTGAGGTAAGAGAAGGTACAAAGGAGTGATGAGAGTTTGCTGCAAGGCTGAGTGATCAGAAAAGGGTGTAGCCGTGTCGTAGTGTAGGATTCTATTTGCAGTTCCACCACTTCTTTCCTCTTTGTCACCACCAGTGGGCTCGCTGTTAGTGCCTGAAGCGTGACTGTAGACAAAGTCTTTATGATGGTGGCTGGAAATTGTAAAACTGGGCAGAATATCACATCAATCACAGCATCACCTCAGTGTTTTACATCATGTGTCTCTTTGTCACTGCCAGCATAGCAGCATTCATGGTTTTCTAGCATTTCAGAAAGGCTGTATTCCTCTCAAATCTTGCCAGGATAGAAGAAGTTGGGGTCTTCAAAGGGCAGAATTGAGAGGATAAAGAGTTTCCTCCACTCTTGGTTGAACTGTTCCTCCATGCTTTGTACTTCTTATCAGATAAGGCAGCAGGAGTCCTGACCTGTATAGAGCAGCAGGAGAAACAGAAACTTCTGACACTGAAAATCCTGACAGACTGAAGACTGATCCTCCCTGCCCTAAAAGCTTGATTTTGCGTCTCTTCAGGCGAACGGTGATCTTTCCACTGGCTGCATGGAGCAGGCTCCTGCTTGAAGGGCCAGGGTAATTTCTAGCTGTGAGATGTGAAGAGGCACACGGGTGCCCACACAGGCAAACTACTGTATGTTGCACTCTTTCCTCATCCTAACAAAGTGTCCAGAATGTGTGTGAGCTCTGATGTCCCTCATCTCAAACAGGTCTTTGCATTTCAGCTTTCCACAGCGGCAAGTTGCTGCTGACAGTGTATAGCCAAGTCTGGCTGTCCAAACTTGTACATCCAATGCCACTGCAACTTGCTGTGGCTCCGTTACTGAAGGGAGGATGTGTGGCACGCTGGCAGAGTCACGCAAGGTTGTCCTAGAAGGTCCCTGTTCTAGAGCAGGATCGATGCCTGCTTCCTGCTCTCCAGGAGCAATGCAGCTTCACCAGATCCCCTTGGCTGACCAAAGTGGAAAAGCTGGCTTCAGATGGGAATTTTAATTAGGACCATGTAAATACGCATGCACAAAGAGCTGCAGAAGACGAGGTCATTGCAGGTCTGCCTGACCTCTTTTCTCTGTCCACGTTTCCCAGGGTCAGTTCTCAAACTCTTGCTGGTGTTTTCAGCAGATGCCGAAGCCATGGACCACTTAACACTGTAGGAAAGACTTCTTCACTTTTTCCTCACAACAAGAGCTCCTGTGAAATCCTCTCTGTATATGTGGGTCCAGGTTGCTGGTTTTCTCCAAGCAGGCACGCAGAAATCGTGAACCATGAAAAAAAGGAGTCATGAAGTGTTCCTTGGAGCACTTGCAGAATAGTTTAGATAATTGTGATTTTTTTTTTGCTGGGTGAAGTTTGGGCCATTGGGAGTTGACCATTGAGCCTGGCATGAATAGGAAGGGGAAAGTGAAGCGGAAAATACCTTTGCTAGCAGTGTCTCCAGTAGGTGCAGCAAAAATAAGCAAGGGCTGTACCTGCTTTGGCTGGCACTTTTTTGGCGAGGAACTGGTTCCATTACACCTATTTGTTGGTGGGCTACGTTAGCAAAATGCTCCTGGTACGGCTGCTGCTATATAGCAAGGCATTATTTTCCACCTCCTTCCTGAAGAAAATAAGTAATATTTGTTAAAACAGAGATTTTGCTGCTGGAACTGTGTTTTTATTACAGCGTAGAAGGGTGGAGGGCAGCATTGGTAATGTTGTGGGGATGCTGGAGGGCACCGCGCTCTGCTGCCCTGCCTGAAGTACACGGGCTGCGTGTGCCTCGGTGAGGAGACGGTGTGACACTCTCCGCTGGTCCCCTTGTGTAGAGCCAGGTGGGAGCACAGCGTAAAGGGAGCAGCAACAACTGTTGGGGTGAGGCTGGAGAGGGCTTCTACGCTTGTCGGTGTCACATGTTTTAGCAGAAATTCATTTGACGTTTTGGACAGGGAAGGCAGTGCTGATCATTCCTGGCTGCTGCGCTGAGTACGTGCCGATGCACTTGGCTATGAGGATAATGCATTTTCCAGCATAGAGGAGGCTTGTGTCCATGCAGTTTTAAGGTCAAATTGTGCCATCGCACTCTTGAGACAGTAAACAGTGGTAGATTGTGAAAGGGGCTGTACCAGTAACTCTTACTTATGATGTTTTTGGCACGCCGTCTAACCAACACCTGAGGAAGGCTCTCAGGCTGCGGTGATGCACCATGTCCTCACATTTCACAGCCTTTCCTGGTGAAGGTAGGGTCGACATCCCTGGCTTGGCCTTTTAGATGGACTTCTTGCCAAGCTGGTGGGTCCCTACAAGATGAAACAGAGCAGGTCAGGGAAAGAGTAAGCCATTGACATTTCGCCATGAAATCTTTTAGGATCTCAGAAAAAAACACAGCTGAAAACCAAATGACCTTCAGTCACAGAC